TTTTTTCATTTTGATTAACCATTTTGAGTTCAGATCATTGTTTTCACCACTCACCATCTCTCTTTGTGTTCCACCAACAGATCGGAGCCACGTTGCTGCATGGAAACCTTCCATGCATGCGAATCGGGGCACACAAACAAATCCATGTTTGAACACGTAGGTGTTCTTACACATCCAACAGGATTACAATTTGGCAGCTGTCATAGAACACCACGGAAACAATGGGCAGTTGCAGGCAAAAAAAATGACATGTCCAAGGGCTAATACTGAGAAACATATAGGAGATTATACCCTTAAAAAGTGACATTGAGCAGATATGTAACTTGTGGGAAGAGCTGGTGGAAATGTGGCAGTAACTTAGTACTGGTGATGGGGTGCCATCCCCAAAAATATGGTTTGCAGGAGCATGCGTACATGTTATTTGGACAGAGCAATAAAGTGGCAAACCCAGAAGGTGATTCTGACAGCAAGCATTGCCAAAGAAGGGAAGGAGGATGCTTCTCCAAGATTGTGTGGCTATTTTTATGAGTGACAAAGTCACTCCTGCACTCCCAAAATAGAGACTAATACAGGCAATTTTTTTACACTACACACTGTGTTAGAATACAGTTATCCTTGAAGGGATTTTATTGTTCTTCTGTTTTTTCCAGACCCAAAAACTTATTGTGAAACAGTTTGTTCTTCCTATATCCTACTTGAAGGAAAAAGGAGCTTTAAAAACTACCAGGTGTTCAAGATTTTTCTTCTTGCCTCTCTGACTGCCAAGTCCAGATATTTGTTCTTCAGAGGTTTTCATTGTTCTTCACTATGCCAATTTCTTATTACATGAAAGAAGAATTAATTCATTTTGCCAAATTTAGGCAGAACATGGACTTGAAAATATTGATGTTCAATGCTTTTACTTCCTGTACAAACAGTGTTGAAGCTTTACGTACAGTCTCCACAGAGACTCTAACTTGAACAATGTGTACTTTTCCATTCTTAAAGTTCTTTATCATCTCTGATTACTTATCTTTTTAATGATTTCATTTAGTAATTATTTATTATCATTTTTCACATGTAAATTTTTCCTTTCCTGTCAAGCTGTTTTTTATAATTCTAAGAGTTCATAAACCCCTACTTAGCTCCATAAATATATCTACAGTTCCATTTAAAAAATAATTCTATAATGACTGAAAGCATAAAAATTTTCCTGTTTAATTTTTCAGATGTGTAGTACATAAATTTAATGTATTTCTGTGTTTAGTAGTTGCTCATTCCAAATGAATCTGTTAAAGAAACATACATGGTCAGGGTCGATTCCCATTTTTTGTAATCCTGTATAGCTATTGGCATCTTTGATTCTGCAAACCAGGTTCAACAGGAGTTGCCTCTAACTCTAATTCTGGTGTCCTGGTCCTTCTCCAAACAGGCATTATGTCAGGACGTGGAGCAGACTGTATTGGTGGTGGTGATGGATGATCATCCTCTGTCCCTAGACAAGAGCTATATATCCAACTTCTATTATTGCACCACTCGGTAGCTGTAATATAGTTAAACCTGGGATTTTTCTGGATCCTATCACAGATGTGGCAAATTTATGGACTTTCCTTTCCAGTGACTTTATCAGTTCCTTTTTTCTGCACTTCAGAGTCTGGAGCAGTATTTCCTTTGGGCATCCCATCTGTAGGCTCTCTTCATGGTGGCACACGTCAGCTTCTCTGTAGATGCAAGCGCCACCAATCTCTCAGGGAGCCCGAATAAGATCTTCATTGTTCAGAAATCCAGCTGAATTTTCCATCATTGCAATGCATAGTAGTAGTTTTCAGTATTCAAAGAATGATTTTAATTTCCAGGGTGATCTGCAAAGGATACCTGTGCATCCTTTCAGTGCTCGTGTGATGTATGAAAACATTTGTCTCTCAATTTAAAACATTGGGAAACTGAAGTAACTTATTCAAGAGGACAGAGAAAGTAAACCTGATCCTGGTTAAAAGCTTTTCAAGCCTTCAGTAGTCTTGCTATTGACCTTAGCGGGGTCTGGATTAGTGCCTGCAAGATATGGAATTAGATTTCAAGAATTATTGACTGAGTCATCTTCAACACACCTCAGCACAGTCACCTTCTGCAGGCACAGAGTCCCAGCACACCTAGAAGAACATTGTGTAAGTGTTTGCCCCCAGCGCTCTGCTCGTGCTCTTGTAGATTGATTCCAGTTGTAAAAGAAACTGATGACAAAGCCATGTACTTAACATGGGCAAAGTTACTTTCAAAGTCACATTTCCTTGGACATGACAGGAATCAGTGGTGAATAATTTTCTTCCACTTAAATCACAAACGTGCTTTGACTGACATGCAACCTAAAAGCTCTCCCTCCCAGCTCCTCTTCAAAACCATGTTCACAGTGTTTGTGGACACCAGTTTCCTTGCTGTCATCTCACTTAGATTTATTTTTCTCTGTATCTGCACCACTGCCAAAGGAATATTCAGAAAACTGTACCTTATTGAAACTTGCCATCTTTGCTATGGCTGAGAGAGCACACGTTTGTGATTTGGGCAGAGTTTGCTATTGTATCAGTTCGCTACTGCTGTAGAGAAGCAGAAATGTATCTAGTAGCTGTCTTAAAGAGAGAACGGCAATGGTTAAATACAACCTTTGGGAGCAGTGACCATATGACGGTGTTTTTTTCTTCCCCTGGCTGTAACATGCGGCCTGAAGAATGCATACAGGACAGGGAGACCTTGGCCTTCAGTCCATCTTCTTGTACATTTCCACCTGCTCCATCCTTGTCTCAGGATGCTATGGGTCTACTATGAATATTGCATTTAATATTAAATTTCGTATCTGGCTGGAAGTGTAGCTGATCCTACATTCATCCAGAGGGATGGACGACATGCCTCCCTTGTCATCTTTGCAGTGCCCGTTTTCCCTGATCCTAGGAGAGGACCAGTATGACACGGTGGGTTGAGTGCTGCTGTGGTGCTCTGCTTTGGGTGCCGTAGATCTCTGCAGGAAGCTTTGGTGGCAAGTAGTAATGATGGACTTCCACCCCTAACAGGAGAGAGCTCCACAGGATGGCCTGCTGTGACTATCAGGAGTCTGACTTTTTAAAAATGGGATCAAGAAAATTATTATAGCCTGAGGACTTTGAATTGTATGTTGCCCTTTCACCTCTGACTTTATCTTCCAGCATTCACTAACCATGAATGTTTAATATGGCCACCACTGCATCCCATGGAATAAATGACAGATTCTGAGTTTCAAAGCTTAATCTGAAAAGCAATGCATATATATCAATATTGAAAAAAAAAAGCATCACACCCAGAGCAAATCCTTTTTCATAAGCCCACTTATTAAAAAAAAAATGATGTAATATCATGAGTTTTGATTAATACTAGTCTTCAATAAGCCTAAAGCAAAACCTTGCTTGCTGTGCACTTGCTACGCTTGTTGTACAGAACTGCCTGAAAGCGATGAAGGCTCACAGTCAGAGCGTGAGGCCGGGAGAGATACGAGCTCTGTTGGAGTACAGGTTCTCAATCCTCAGTTTTTTTTCCTGGAGAAGATGATTATGGATGTTTCACAGGAATAATAATGCTAATTTTCAGCCCCCACAGAGTACTTTACACCTGCAAAGTGCTGTAATAACATGAGCTAATCCTCACCAGTAAGTGAGTATTATGGTACCTGTTTTGCAGATGCAGAAACGAAGATAGAGAAAGGTCAGTGGGCTGACCTAGGGTCACGTAGCTTCTCAGCAGCAGGTTTAGGATGAAGAAACAAACCTCTCTGGTCAAATTCAACTGATCATGCTGCCCTGTAGCAAATGTAGCTCAAATTTTCTAGATAGATATATATTTATACTAGTGATGGAGTTATTTCTCTCTCTGCTTCTTCAAAATAAACAAGCTCCCGAGCTACCAAACCCCACATTTACAAGTATCATTAAATACTTTGCAGTCACTAACCAGAAAACTCAGCAGAAAACCTGTAGAACACCAAAGTAACTCTCTTCTTTTAAATAATTGATGATGCCAAATAGCAGCAGTGTTACGCCAACAAAGAGATCGGTCTCTCAAAATATTTTATTCATTATGCCTCGAGAAACCCAAAGCCTTGTTTTTAGCAACAGCAAATTTCAAAAGTTGGCTCTCAGTTCATCTGAAACATCTGCTTATTACAAATCTTGGTGTTACAGCACTGGTGCTCCCCAGTAAATCTTTCAGCTTTAAATAATACGTATGGAAGTCTTGGCAGAGATCACCAAGGAGAAAGAGAAATGTTTGCCAAATATGCATTTTACTCTATGGGGCTGTAGTGATATATTTTAATAATACATGTGGTGAAGAGAATCTACTAATCCAATTAAATAACAGGACAAGAAACTTAATTCCAAGGTTCAAAAGAAACTCCATTTTACACAGCTGAAACTTTATATTTCAGAGTAAAATGGTTAGAAGTCTTAGCTAACTACCCTTCTATAAAACAGCCAGAAATGGATTTTTCTCTGTACTCTTCGTAAATCAAGGTCACTTATGTGAGAAGGCTATGTTGTGATAAATCTGTCTGACAATTAGATGGAGAGGGCATATTGATGTTAAATTATGTTCTTTATACACTCTGGTCAGAAGGCAATGTAAACACCACAGCAGCATTATAAAACAGAAAATTGCATTCCAGATAATAACAGATATTCACGGTGCATGGTTTTACACTTTGATGTACTATGTTTTACTCTGTCATATTAATATTTAAAATTATGTAACATTTCCTTATTTGTGCACAGTTTCTTTTTTTTTTCAGTGAAAATGTACCTCCCTCTCTCACTTCCTTTCCTTCTCTCTGCTTATTGCTCTGCCTTTTCCCTTTTTCTTTTTTCCTTTTTCCTTCTCCTTTTTTTTACAGTGATGTTTGGGAGAACAAAAAAAAAAAAAGCCTAAAGCAAAATTGTCTGCGTAAGAAAATAGTAACAAGTAGTCTCAAGATTTAAAAGCCAGGATTTTGTGTTATATATTTACAGATTCAATCTGTGTACCAGGCTTTGATCCAAGCCTTAGCATGATGACTGGAATCACTCCGATTAACCCGATGATCCCAGGCATGGGGTTAGTGCCACCACCACCACCAACAGATATGCCTGTAGTCAAAGAAATAATTCACTGTTTTTTCTTCCCTCCAAACCCAAGTAAGTGGATCTGATGAAAGAATGTGATTTTACTAAATATATTGCATGAAACATTTTCTATCTAATAAAAACTACGTTTTTTAAACAGAGTGTACACAAGCATGGTGTTTTCTTCTAGGGTCTATTCTGTGTATAAAGCATGGTATGGTATCAGTGCATATATATTCATCTGTAAGGCCATGTAAAAAAACCTATGCGATTTGTACAAAAAAGAAAAATAATTAATTAAAGCTAACAGCCTGAAATTCTACACGTCTCGCACAGAAATCCATCTTTCCTGTAGATCAGAATATCACAAAATGTAACAAT